CGGTCCGATGGGCGGTGTCAGTCTGGCGTAACCGACACGGTTTGGGGGCTGGAGGACGTGTAGCCCGCGAGACAAGGTGTCAGTCCTGACACACACCGCAGAATTGTCAGTCCAAGGGCTGCCTCCTGGACCGAACGATGGCCTTAAAGAACAGCGGTCTCTTCGAGGAATCGACCACACACGGTCTTCTGAACAGTTGTGCCAGTTGTGGAGAGGCTTTACCCATTGTGTCACCGATAACAGTCAACCTCTTGCAGAGGCGTCACTTTATATAGTTTTTTGGGGGGAGCTGCCCCCCCCCCCTCCCCCGATGCTGACGTGAGCACCCTCAATGCTTTTGAGTCCTCCCAGACATGCGGGGAAAAAGGAGATTACGTAGCTAATGAAATGCAGCAAACTGATATGCCGGGACACTAAGTACCTAAACACATTACTATTACTGTATTTCTTTTGTGTCATGCGGTATCATGTTTGTACCTAGTGTTACGTCATGCCAACTTCCCCGTATGCTGGGCCATTTTGCGAAATATAGCAGGTTTTTTCCGGGATAGCCCAGGCAGAATAGGACAAAAGTAAACTGTAATATATGGCAGGTTTTCTTGGGGAAATACAAGTTGCATAAAGTTTTCATTAACAGTGGCAAGTGTGTTTGTCGCGCGATCGTTACTGCGGTGGCATTTTACTGTCAATTCAATGGCAAAACACTAACAGTTGGCCACAGGGCCGTAGCATTGGAGACTCCACGTCGTTAAATGGGAACGACAAAGATTTCCACAAGTTGGCCCCCTGGTGGTCCAGTATGTGTAACAGAGGGACCAGCTGCAGGCGGTCGGTTGTCTTGTAGATGAACATCGACGGCGATGCGTTCCATCTGAAGTCTGAAGGCAACCTTGGGCTCTGGAAGGTTCGCTGGGTTGTCCATGCTGGCGGGGATCTTATGTTGCCCTACGGCAAAAATCCAGCGGCGACAGGTCGGCTAAGCGCGAAGTCACTCCGCAGCTGTCTCAAGCTGCCGTGCGTGTGAGCGAAATGCCTCCTCAGCCAGCCCAGTGAGGCCCGTGCCATGTGCGGTGTCACTCTCGTCCTGCTGGAGCCCCTCCTCGTCCCGAACAAGCCCATGGAGCGCCCTCTGAGCCGCCCAGAGGGATGTCAGGGCGGTCGCAGGGTAGCGCTCTGAGATGGTGTTTCACGGGGCCGTTAGTCTCGTCCTCAGAACATCTTCTGCAGATTCACGATTTGAACAAATGTGCGATCACTGATGACTTCTATTGTTTTGAGCACGTTTTGTCATCGGATGGTCATTCGAATCCCCGCCTAGTATTCATTGTGCGGGAAGTGCACTTGTCACTGTTGAGTAAAACCGTGGATTAACTCTTGCTATGCCACTCTGCATAGACGTCAGTTTCACATAGATGCAGTTTGTTTGTTTCAGTTTCCCCATTGCAAACCTGATACCGTCGTATTGCTTAACAGAGATTTTACGGCACAGCCGGAAAACCTCACTCAGTCCTCTGGGCATGGGTTCACACGGAAAAAAATATTTTAGAAGCATTACGTTCGCGTGGCTACGGACCATAAGATACTTACACCGCTCTCCGCATTTGTGATATAAGGACTGCTTTCTCAGCGGTCTTGGTTTGCGCTGCATCGTAATGCGTCATGGTTAGAGCGGCCGCGATTTTGTTTTAAATATGTAGTCCAGGCCTTTTGATGGTGTGTATTTCTGTGGTGAGCGTTTACGCTGAGCATTGCTTGTTGCGTAGGCCCCGGCTCCATTCGATCGTAAAATTCAGCGTCAGCTGCAAAATTCTGTGGCGAAAGCTTAACGTAAGCTTGCTCGGCTCGGCCCGCCCTGCTCTGTGACGTCACCAGACCGTCAGCGCGGCCCCTGCCACCGGCCGTAGGCTGTTCCAGTCACGGTCAGGTAGCAAACGCCTGAAGCGATTCAAACCCGCCCCGAAAAGCAGGCACATTAATCAACTGAGCCGTCGGGGCGGCCCGCTGCATCTCTCGGGACAGGACGGCTCAAAGCATGGTTTGTCGGTATATCTCCCACCTGGTTTACCACAACACAAATTGTGTCGAGGAATGGAATCATCGAATTTTGTGTGGGGTTTTTCCCTAGAATTTTGTGTGGGGTTTTCCCTAGTGAGTCAGCTTTTGGGATAGTGTTGATCGGTTTTCAGAGCAACTTTGATCATGAGCACAACTGGCGAGCGTTGGGTTTTCTCAATATAGCCAATATGTTTTGATGGCACCGCTTGGCCACAATCTTCGGTCGTAATGAAGGTCGACTGTTTTAATTTATAGCGTCGAAACACCAAGAGTTCAAGGGCTTTCTTGCTTATGCAGCTTCTACCAGGTGTCAAGGGGGTTGTTTGCGTTCCTTTTTCCAACGGTGACCGGCTACCACACAGCCAGCAGCCTTAACCTGCTAGGTCTCCAATGGTCTGCATGTCCGTTGAGAGGGTCGTGCATCTCGTTTTCATGTTTTATGTAGGTGGTGGTAGTGGACATGAATTTGCTATAGCCTCTCGTTTGTACATGTCAGGTCATATGATTTAGCATAAAACGGTAATCGGGAGCCTCAGGAAACCATTGATGACGGAAAAAACACACCTATCGTGTTTATCACGGCAAGTCAATTTAATTACACTCCTCTCTGCATTACCAAAATGTGGCTCCACATCTGCTTCAAATGAAAAGTCATTTTCAGCGTTAAAACAATGTCAGCGATGAAAGCTAACGTAATGGATTTAATGCTTGAAATTGGATATCGTTGTGAAAATTAAACCGGCCGAAATCCAGGGGAAATTGGACATGGTTGGGCCAGGTCAACGTCGTCGGCTCAGCCTCTCCTATTGATTTTAGAAGGTGACACCCCTGGTTTCTTGGGGCCTCTGTGACCGAGCGTCCACTGGTCTTCGTCTCCAGATTTCTCAGTCTCAGTTTGCCTGTTCACGTCCGTCGGAGACGCCAGTCGCGTTGGTCTGGCGGCTGGTCGGACGGCGATAGTATCGCTCCGCGGGCTGGGGCTTGGAGCGAACTGCCTTTACGCTTCAGCTGCATGTCTCCAGCCTACCCAGCGTGGGTAGCCAGCTTGCCCAGCCTGGTAGCCAACTTGCCCAGCGTGGTAGCCAGCATGCCCAGCGTGGTAGCCAGCTTACCCAGCGTGGTAGCCAGCTTGCCCAGCGTGGCAGCCGGCGTGCCCAGCAGCTCGCGAGTGGGGTTCGCACGGTAGTCCGTGATCCGATGTTTATGGGTAATGGATCGTGTCCGACCGGCGGAGCTCTGCGTAATCGCCGGTGGGAGCGGTGTTCTGGTGGCAGTTTTGCGAGCGTGGCTGGCCCTGGACGCCCGGCGGATGCATATCTTGGTACAAATGGCCTCATGTCAGATGTCATCGCTGCTGTAAGGCTGTATGTATTGACGTGCTGCCATCAAAGTGATGCACGAAGTGTACGACATGGCCGCCTGTCTCATCCATTTCATCGGCATATCTCAAAGCTGACCTTAGTAGCATTTGGAATGTCAGTTGGGAAAGGGGCCGAAGAGACCAAACGCCATTCCAAATGTTGCAGGAATGTTACAACATCCTAAATGTTACAGAATTCGTGGCACAAGCGGTAGCTCCGTTAGCCTTTTGCGATTGCCGCTAACATTGAATGCGCGTCATAACGAGATACACAGTATGGATATGAACAAAACATGGTCATGTGTCGCGAAATTCCCAGATTGGTATGAACAACTATAATTGTTCCTTAGCAGCTGATCTCAGGCGTTGCTGGCAATGCAGTTGATAAGGTGCCTGCGACATACCAGGGGAAACTGGATCGCCGGTACAGGACGGGAAAACATGACATGTTGGATCTGCTTGTATTGTGACCCTAGAGTGGTGCGGCGAAGCTGAGAGTCTGTCCTGCCGTGGTTGGTTGATGGATAGCACTGGACGATCCTTCAGTCCCATGTCCGCCAGGCTGGGCGTCGGCATAGAGATGCCGACTTATTGCATTTTATTGTTTATGCGTGGAGTTTAGTGTGCTCATAGTATTTCTCCGGCCTCACTGATTACACAATGTGGGTGGATAACGGGTATGACGACTACGCCGTCTATGTCTCTTGTAAAAGATGTCCAGTATTTCCTTTGGCTGTTATATATTTTTGCCCACGTACATACCAATATTGCTCACAAACCACCTGCCCACTGCGGCATCATCAGCCTGTGTCGTTATCGTGAGCCAGAGCTGGCGGGCTGGCTCACGTGGCGGGCGGCCGGTCCCGGCACTGGAGGTGCCCCAGCCGCGGCCGCCGGCGGCAGCCCGCCGTCGTGAGCCAGAGCTGGCAGGCTGGTTCACGTGGCGGACGGCCGGTCACGGCGCTGGACGTGCCTCAGCCACGGTCGCTGGTGTCAGCCCACCGTCGTGAGCCAGAGCTGGCAGGCTGGTTCACGTGGCGGACGGCCGGTCACCGCGCTGGACGTGCCTCAGCCGCGGTCGCTGGCGTCAGCCCACCGTCGTGAGCCAGAGCTGGCGGGCTGGTTCACGTGGCGGACGGTCGGTCACGGCGCTGGAGGTGCCCCAGCCGCGGCCGCTGGCGTCAGCCCGCCGTCGTGAGCCAGAGCTGGCGGGCGGCCGGTCACGGCGCTGGAGGTGCCTCAGCCGAGGCCGCCGGCGTCAGCCCGCCGTCGTGAGCCAGGGCTGTCAGGCTGGCTCACGTGGCAGACGGCCGGTCACGGCGCTGGAGGTGCCCCAGCCGCGGCCGCTGGCGTCAGCCCGCCGTCGTGAGCCCGAGCTGGCGGGCGGCCGGTCACGGCGCTGGAGGTGCCTCAGCCGCGGCCGCCGCCGGCAGCCCGCCAGCCCACACACGCCACCGGCTTGTTTCTCGCGCTCCCTCTTTGCTGTGAGGTCGTTGCGACCGGCCGCGGTGCCGACACCGGCCCGGTAGAGGCCCGGCGCCGACTCCGCCCTGTTCCGGCCTGCCGCCTCCACCGCCTCCGCCGTTTAGGCGTCCTGGATGTCGACGCGGCCCGTGAACACGGGAATGACGTCGCCCAGGGGCTGGTAACCGTTCTCGTCGGCGATGAAGGTGATGGAGCTGACGCTGCCGTCCGGGTGCGTGAACGTGTAGCCGCCCGATTGCACGTAGTTGCCCGACCCGGGCTCGGCACCGGGGTACGAGATGCCCGACTCGTCGCGTATGGTGCCATCCGACGTCTCGTAACTGGTGAAAGGAGGACACGTGGCAGATGAGCTCCTCTGACATCGGAACAGCGTGTCCTGTTTCAAACGTACCCTGTACATTGGCCTTGAGAGCTTTTTTACCACGCATTCGCAGCAGCCCCATGATCAGTTCTCCATCGATATCCAGTTCACCTAGCTCATCAAGGATGACATTCTAGCGATATCCAGGTTGTGAATTATTTCACCATCGCGCGTCATCCTGAAGTATGCTTCGGCTATTTGGCGTAAGTAGTCCCGTGAGGTCGTGGCATGGCGGCCGCGGCGCCGTGTAGTCCTGTGAGGTGGTCATGGCGGCCGCGGCGCCGTGTAGTCCTGTGAGGTGGTCGTGGCGGCTGCGGCGCCGTGTAGTCCTGTGAGGTGGCCGTGGCGGCCGCGGCGCCGTGTAGTCCTGTGAGGTGGTCGTGGCGGCCGCGGCGCCGTGTAGTCCTGTGAGGTGGTCGTGGCGGCTGCGGCGCCGTGTAGTCCTGTGAGGTGGCCGTGGCGGCCGCGGCGCCGTGTAGTCCTGTGAGGTGGTCGTGGCGGCCGCGGCGCCGTGTAGTCCTGTGAGGTGGCCGTGGCGGCTGCGGCGCCGTGTAGTCCTGTGAGGTGGTCGTGGCGGCCGCGGCGCCGTGTAGTCCTGTGAGGTGGCCGTGGCGGCTGCGGCGCCGTGTAGTCCTGTGAGGTGGTCGTGGTGGCTGCGGCGCCGTGTAGTCCTGTGAGGTGGTCGTGGCGGCTGCGGCGCCGTGTAGTCCTGTGAGGTGGCCGTGGCGGCCGCGGCGCCGTGTAGTCCTGTGAGGTGGCCCGGCGCCGTGTAGTCCTGTGAGGTGGTCATGGCAGCCGCGGCGCCGTGTAGTCCTGTGAGGTGGTCATGGCGGCCGCGGCGCCGTGTAGTCCTGTGAGGTGGTCGTGGCGGCTGCGGCGCCGTGTAGTCCTGTGAGGTGGTCGTGGCGGCTGCGGCGCCGTGTAGTCCTGTGAGGTGGCCGTGGCGGCCGCGGCGCCGTGTAGTCCTGTGAGGTGGTCATGGCGGCTGCGGCGCCGTGTAGTCCTGTGAGGTGGTCGTGGCGGCTGCGGCGCCGTGTAGTCCTGTGAGGTGGTCGTGGCGGCTGCGGCGCCGTGTAGTCCTGTGAGGTGGTCGTGGCGGCCGCGGCGCCGTGTAGTCCTGTGAGGTGGCCCGGCGCCGTGTAGTCCTGTGAGGTGGTCATGGCAGCCGCGGCGCCGTGTAGTCCTGTGAGGTGGTCATGGCGGCCGCGGCGCCGTGTAGTCCTGTGAGGTGGTCGTGGCGGCTGCGGCGCCGTGTAGTCCTGTGAGGTGGCCCGGCGCCGTGTAGTCCTGTGAGGTGGCCGTGGCGGCCGCGGCGCCGTGTAGTCCTGTGAGGTGATCGTGGCGGCCGCGGCGCCGTGTAGTCCTGTGAGGTGGCCGTGGCGGCCGCGGCGCCGTGTAGTCCTGTGAGGTGGTCGTGGCGGCTGCGGCGCCGTGTAGTCCTGTGAGGTGGTCGTGGCGGCTGCGGCGCCGTGTAGTCCTGTGAGGTGGTCGTGGCGGCCGCGGCGCCGTGTAGTTCTGTGAGGTGGTCGTGGCGGCTGCGGCGCCGTGTAGTCCTGTGAGGTGATCGTGGCGGCCGCGGCGCCGTGTAGTCCTGTGAGGTGGTCGTGGTGGCTGCGGCGCCGTGTAGTCCTGTGGGGTGGTCGTGGTGGCTGCGGCGCCGTGTAGTCCTGTGAGGTGGCCGTGGCGGCCGCGGCGCCGCGCGGTCATGCTGCCACGTGCCGTGGTCGGCGGCGGCACGTACCTGAGGTCGTACGACTGGTCAGCACGCAGCTCGTACTCCTGGTCCACCACCGTAGCGTCCCGGTCGGGCCGGGCTGTCGCCGCCGCCACCAGACACAGGGCGATCACCTGGCGATGGGAGACGCGAGCGCGTGTCAGCGGAGCACGCGGCACCCTGCACGTGCAGAGCCTCGGGGGTTCTGAGCTCTGAGCTACGTGGCAGGGTGTGCTGTCGGGACCGAACACGGAAGGCCCATGCGCTCGTCTTCCTGGGGTTATGAGGTTTCTGCGAGGGGTGCTGAAGATACCGGCCTGTGACCAGGTCAGCAGATGGTGACCTGTGGCCAGAGCAGGTCAGCTACTCCAATCTCCGACCACCCTCCCCCTCACTGGCATCGCACCACCGCCATTCCCGGCGAGGGAGGCCGACGCCACTCACAGCTGGCTACCTCCGACCCCCGACCACCTCCCTCACCGACATCGCACCACCGCCATTCCCGGCGAGGGAGGCCGTCACCACTCACAGCTGGCTACCTCCGATCCGTGACCACCTCCCTCACTGACATCGCACCACCGCCACTGCCCCGTCGGGGCAGGCCGTCACTACTCACAGCTGGCTGCCTCCGACCCCTGACCACCTCCCTCATCGACATCGCACCACCGCCATTCCCGGCGAGGGAGGCCGTCACCACTCACAGCTGGCTGCCTCCGATCCCTGACCACCTCCCTCACTGACATCGCACCACCGCCACTGTCCCGTCGGGGCAGGCCGTCACCACTCACAGCTGGCTGCCTCCGACTCCCGACCCCGACCCCCCCCCCCCGCACTACTGCTCCGGCGAGGCAGGTCGCCGCCGCTTCACTCACCAGCTTCATCCTGATCTGGAAGCGAGACAAGTGATGCTGCCGCACTGAAACGCGTCTGTTATATGCTGCGCCTCCGCCCTCATGATCTCTGGCGCTGGTCTCCACAAGCGGCCACCTGTGCGCCGCTGCGAGCCGCCCGCCCCGGCCGCTGTCCAGAGTGCACCACCTGGTCGCACGGGGGCCGGATGTGGCCCATGGATTAATCAATGCTTGGCACGCCTAAGGTGATGGAAACGGGGATCGCTGTCTATTTTCACGGTCGGGAATGTGGAATGTTAGGGCGGACCGGCTGCCAGGTGGGCATTACCCGTTGCCTGCAGATGTGGAGGAGATGCTGGGAGGATAGCGGCCATCGGATTTGCCTCTGACTCATGTTCAGTTGGCTTTGACCTGGATCTGAAGGATTATCGCGCATAGCGGTGGTTAGTTTGAGTCTTGGCTGGATGTGGAAACTTGGAAACAAAGCTGGGGCTGTCCAATATGTGTTGAAATATCCTTCAGTGGTGTTGAGATTGGAGGCAGCTATTGCTTGCACATGTGCACCGCCAGTGTGCTAGTCGACTGGAACAACGGCACTTGTCACGGGCGTCTTTTTGGAAATGATCCGGATGAAGGGGGAGCGAGGAGGCGAGCCGAGAGCCCGACGGCCTAGTCTTCCCAACCTGTGTGTTTTTTAAACGGCTCCGCCGACCCTTATTTTGACGAGTGGGAATTTTTAGCTTCTCAATTTTGCATATTTTTTCCTAATGGTCCTTGACTTTATCAGCTTAGTTATCATGGTCATTAAACAATGTTAAAAGAGTATGGGCTTTATCTGAGCCAGCTTTTAACTGCATTTTGTAACATACCAGCCAAAAAATTAGGTACCCAAGGCAAGATTGAAGGGCCAATAAAGCAGGGTGGGCCTTCATAAAAGAAGAAATTTCAACTTCCGTTACACTTGTTGCTTTTGGTAACATGCATGCCCGCATTAATGTACTGTACAACTTGCGCCAGGAACCTTGCGAAAGGATCTGCATCAGTTGTGCTCGATTCCTTTGTTTGCTTTAAGCTTCCACTGGGAAGCGCTTCATAGCTGAGCCTGACCCTACAACACTTAGCCGTCATGCCAGGCACAGGGGTCAGATAAATGCAATATATTGCTGTTACGAAACTTGTATGTTTCGAATAGAACGCTACATATCAAATATTCAAGACTTTCTTAGTATTGCATTGTAAGTATTCAGTGATATTACAATCCAGTAACTATGTATTCGTTCCTCAGCATTCAAAGTTGAGATGGCTGCCGATCTAGGTTCAGTTTGGTTTGTACTTAATGTTTTGCTTCGTCGGAATAGACATTCCGTCATTGACAGCACACACGTCTCTCGGTCTATGGCAAGCCCTTCGACACACTTCAGAGCTCTGATGGCACAGAGTCGCATTCGTCTCACGTTACTCAGTACTGACTGTTTGGAGATACCCAAGGAGAGCCTGTATTTGAACCTTGAGCAAAGCGCGTAGTTGAATCGAACGCGGTTGCAGCCGGCGAAGCGCGCTAGGCCTGCGGTTGGCAGCGGCCGCAGCGTCCATGCCGTGGAGCGTACATGTGTCCAGCGTCCATGTACGTGTGTGCACTAGTCCCATCCGGATGTAAGGTGCGCCATCGAGCGCTATCGAAATTACGCCGATGGAGTGTGCGTATTTGCCGCTTATGGAACAGCCTGTCTGGAAGGGGCCGTTCGGATGGGAGCATTTGCGAGCCTGCGTCACAGCCGTGTTGGATGTAATGTGGCTCGTTCAGCCCGTTTACAGTTCCCAAGATCTGGCCTACTCTGTGCAATCCGCGTCTTGCTATTTGTAGCCGCCACGTAAAGAGTTGTTTTCGTCAGACCCTTGATCTTACGGCCGTGACGAGTCCAAGTGCTCACGACAGAGCATGGTGATCTCAGTTTACGTCCACCATTTTGGCGAATATTCGTTGTGTAAGAATGTGGGACTGATATATGAATTCAGCTCCCTCACGTTAGTCCTCAGGATTGCACTGTAATCTAACCGTTATAGCCAATATCGTGGATATAATATGCTTAGTCCTCAAAACCAAGCTCAGAATTGGTGTTCTTCGCAGAACAGATTATGTTAAATTAGGCTCCGAAGATTTGACCAAGTTAAGTATTTATTAAAAGTGCAGGTCAGAATTGCACATGTATCTTTTCCATGCTGTTGCCATGTTGCGGGCCCAGGATATATGAGCACGACTACATTCACACGACTTTGGATGAGGAGATACACACACTGCTCTCCGCCTTTGTAATTTTTAAGAAGGCTGCTTTTTCAGCAGTTGTGGGCGCTAAATTGTACTACGCTATGGTGGGTAACCATTTTTGTTTGTTTAGCATTTAGTCTAAACGTTTTAATGAGATGTATTTCTGGGATCTCCGCCCAAAATATACAGTGCTTGCTGTGTGAGTCCGGATCTCCACCGTCCAATCGCGAACTCTCAGGTGAACGTCAAAATTTTGCCGTGCAAGCTTAGCATGCCGACATGCCGTAATGCCCGGCACGGTCCGCCCACCTCTGACGTCATCTGATCGTTACCGTGGGCGCCGCTGCCGACCGCCGGCCATCCCAGTCATTGACAAGTAGTGAACGCCTGAAGCGACTCGAGCCTGACTCGAGACTCGAGCTGAGGCAAGCAGAAAGCAGCCACTCTAACCAACTGACCTATCGTAACGGTTAAATATTTTTCGGAGCGAGACGATATTTCAGCGTGCATTTCGGTGGTGTATCTTTCGCCTGATTGCAACACATATAAGTGTGCCAAGGAATGGACTCATTGCATTTTGTGCGGTGTACTCTGGAGTGAAATAAATATTGGGGTGGTGCTGATCGAATTTTGCGACGAACTTTGACCGTCAGCAGAGTTTCAAACGTCGAGTTTTCTCACACAACCGATGTTTCCTTCATTACCTTGTATAACTACTACCTTCTGCTATACCTTCTGTTGATTATATTCGACATTAAAATTATCAACTCAGAGCGCCTAGACACCAAAAGTTCAAGGCTTTTCTTGCTTATATCAATTTCCAGCACGTGTCCAAGCGTTAGTGACGCCCAAGGCGCTGGGGCGGCGGTGATACCACCTGTTAACACGGCCTCTGGTCAGCTAGCCACACCACCTGCTAACACGGCCTCTCTGGTCAGCTAGCCCGTCACCAGACTGCCTACCCTGTCTTTCCAGATGTCGACATGTCTGTTGATACCCGTCCGGTCGCCTGGCCTCTGCCTACCTTGTCCTTCCAGACATCGACATGTCTGTTGCGAAAGTGGTGCAAGCACACTGTCGCTTTATCTATAAGTACATCCCGTCAGTTTACGCGGCCTATTTTCCATGGCATCCAGGTAGGTTTGGGGAGGGTAGGTTGAGGGGAGGGTAGGTTTGGGGAAAGTAAGTTTGGGGAGGTTAGGTTTGGGGAGGGTAGGCTGAGGGGTGTAGGTTTGGAGGAGGGTAAGGTTTGGGGAGGGTAGGTTTGGGGGAGTGGGTTTGGTCAACGCTAGCGGCTCAGCACCAAACGTTAGCGGCTTTTGACCTTCCAAACTGTGCCCACTCTGGACCATGAACACGTCTGAAGTCGTCGGGCTTAGACAATATAACAAATGCAGGTGTGATGATGCTTAGCTAGAACCTTTTAATACACTGAGGGTTGATTGTTTTCAGCATAAGAACTCCAAACTCATGCCGAAAAATAACACTAGCTCAAGGTTTTTCTGCTTGTATCGGATGGTGAAATTATCGATGTACCCGATATTTCCCTATTTTATTTCAATTTAGTCATATTGGCGAGTGCAATGTGAACGGACGTTCATAAGCATGTGCGTCTACCGCCCGTGTGCGATCTGAGGTATTTTGTCCGCGGAATCAGCAGGAATGCTAGATTGGTTTCGCCCGAAATTCGCGCGCCTGCATTCCTGCGGCTTCATTAAACAGCCGTTCTTTGCATGCAAACTGGAGATCGGCCAAAATATTCCTGGCCCGTACTTGCCTACTTCATTACACAGATCCTCTCACGACACCTGTGCCACGTGTTGTACGCCAGACCCAATGTGAACGACAACACGCTGTATTCGCTTCTGTCGAATGACTGGCGGTTGATATGAACAGCTGAACAGAAACACAGACAATAAGAAAACACGAAGAGTTGACCAGCGGGTGCGACATTGCGCTCGGACTTCTGCTATCAGATCTGCAAGCTGGAGAAGTTCTGAGCAGGCAGTGGTGGAGGTAGAGCTACGCGTCAATACGCGTGACAGTTGGAGACAGCAGTGCCGGTTTATCGCACGTTGTGGAGCGCGATCTCCGTTACCTGTCGGTGCCTGAAGTCTGCGCCGTTGGCCGGGGACACGTACCGACGGTTGGCACCCAGCACAGGCGCCCGAGCCTCTGGCGGGCCGGCTCCCGACGCGCGCGGAAATCCGACGGGGCCCAGGCGTCTGACCGCCAGGCTGGGCGGCCAGCGCGCCTGCCGCACCTGCCGCGCCTGCCGCCGCCTCAGGCGTCCTGGATGTCCACTCGACCCAAGAACACGGGGATGACGTCGCCTTCAGGCTGGTAGCCGTTCTCGTCGGCGATGAAGGACAGCGAGGTGCTGCTGCCGTCCGGGTGGATGAACTCGTAGCTGCCCGACTGCACGTAGTTGCCTGTCTCCGGCTCGGCGCCCGGATACGAGACGCCCGACTCTTCGCGCTCGATGTTGTTGGATGTGGAGAAACTGCCGGCACGCGGTCGCGTTAGCGGCGGACGGTCGTCGGGCGCCCGGTGCGGGGCCAGGGGCTGACTGCGCCAGCCGCCGGGCTAAAGGGCTGGTCAGGTGTCGGCCTCCGACACATGGGCCGCGCCAAGCTCCGCACGTCCAGGTACCATCCGTCCCGGAGATGAGCGGAACCGCGCCAGCACCGACGCTGACAGTCATCAGACTCGCAGCACAGACGCGATGGGAGGGCGCGCGGTCGACTGGCCCTCCTCACGGCAACAGCAAGGAGACCCGCGCGAGCCAGCCAAACTGGCGAGCTGTCGCCACCGCGGTCACGGCTGGACCAGATACCGTTGCACGAGTTGGGCGGCGTGCCGGTGGAGTGGCGCGACCCTGTGACTTGGTTGCCATCTGGGCGCTGTTTTGTGTAGGGCATCAGCGCAAACGTTGCGTTTGTCACCGTCTGTTGTACGGGCGTGTGCACTGTTTGAAAACTCGGCTGAAGTGGCAGGACAGGTGACCTGAAGCTGGGCACCGGAAGTGTAGGGTGCCGCTAGTGTAGTGGTTAAGCTACGCGTCTTGAGGTTTGGGAAACCAGAAGTACGAGGTTCGATTCCCCGCGGTGCCCACCCTTTCTGCCAGCGTGAGAGGCAGGCGACGCCATAAAACCTAAGCAGCTGAGTATCCCGCACAGCCTCAATGACAACAACCTGAAGCAGGATTTCTGACCCGAGGTGTAGATATGGCTGACCTGAAATCATACTATGACTGACCTGAAGTCGTAAGGTGACGGACCTGAAGTGGCAGGAGTTGTGGTCCAATGCGGTGGTGTATAACTGACCTGAAGTCGTAGGAGTGGTCCTCCCTCAGCTCGTTCGTCATCTCGAGCGTCTCGGCGTTCCTCTCGTCAGTCCGGGCCGGGCTCGTCTGGACGAGCCCGGCCTGCTGCCCGAACTCGTCCCGGCCGCCGCGGCGCGCGTCAAACTGGGGCCGGGCGAGGGCCGCGCCGGCCAGACACAGAGCGATGATCTGCGCACAGCGGGGCGGCGGCGTCAGGTCGGCCCGAGGAGGCTTAGCGCATGGCAGGTCGTCTCGACCTGATGTGACGCTGGCGATCCGGCCGGGGTTGGGTCAGCTCCGGCCGGTGTCGGGTCAGCTCTGGCCGGAATGGATCAGCTCTGACCAGGGTCGGGCCAGCTCCGGCCGGGGTCAGGCCAGCTCTGGCCGGAATGGATCAGCTCTGACCAGGGTCGGGTCAGCTCCGGCCGGGGTCAGGCCAGCTCTGGCGGGGGGGGGGGATGAAATCAGGTGGCGCATGGCCAGAAGGCGTGGTGGATAGGGGGTCATGCTGGACGCTCGCAACGAACGCGACGGCGTCAACACGAGCCTCTTCATCAGAAACCGTGCGGGGAAATCATGCAGTACGTTTGCTGAGAGCCAATGGCGGAAGAGCTCGCTATGTTGGAGGCGTGTTGGTGGTGAGGTGGCCACTGATTCGGGGCGTCATGGCTGGCCCGACCGGCCACACTTCCCGTCGTGAGACACTACAGCCCGACGACAGCCCAGGCCTCAGCACTCGGCCCCCAGTGAACCACGACCCGCACTGGACGTGGTGGGGGTCCCCGGTCACCGCAGGCTCCGTCGACGCCCCCCCCCCCCCCCTCCCCTGCGCCCGGGCCGGGGCGGCGATGACTCCGAGGTGCCAGTCGCCGCCGCCGACCCGTCCCGGCCGTTCCGAGTGGTGGCGCACTGGAAGCTGTCACGTGTGACACGGGCCGCGTCGTCACGGGGCGCAGCGCGAAGCGCTGTGAGCACGTGTGGCAGCGCTGGCGGGGCCGGCGCCGCCTCACTCACGAGCTTCATACTGCCGATACGCTGCTGTGGCGGACGTGGATGCCGCGGTCCGGCTTTATACAGGAGGGCGCCGTCTGGCAGCTGTCCTTGCCGGCGTCGGCGCGAGTTTTTGTACGGCCGGACAGCGCCCGGCTCGGCACTACTTGTCAGCCGGCGACGGCGGCGCCGCCGCTCCGCCTGCTTGCCAAACATCGCCTGGGAAAACAGCCGCACGCGCCGAAAACAGCGGATTACCGGGCGTCGCGACTTAGGGGCAGGTGGCGGGGGTGGGGAGGGGGTGTCCGCTCACCGAGCGACCGGGCGGGGGTCACCACCTCCGGAGCTGGGGCCGTCCCGGTAGGCCGCATCCCTGGGACGGGGTCGCCACCTCCGAAGCTGGGGCCCTCCCGGCAGGCCGCATCCCTGGGGCGGGGGTCACCACCTCCGAAGCTGGGGCCTTCCTGGCAGGCCGCATCCCTGGGACGGGGTCACCACCTTCGGAGCTGGGGCCCTCCCGGCAGGCCGCATCCCTGGGGCGGGGTCACCACCTCCGGAGCTGGGGCCCTTCCGGCAGACCGCATCCCTGGGGTGGGGTCACCACCTCCGGAGCTGGGGCCCTCCCGGCAGGCCGCATCCCTGGGGCGGGGGTCACCACCTCCGAAGCTGGGGCCTTCCTGGCAGGCCGCATCCCTGGGACGGGGTCACCACCTTCGGAGCTGGGGCCCTCCCGGCAGGCCGCATCCCTGGGGCGGGGTCACCACCTCCGGAGCTGGGGCCCTTCCGGCAGACCGCATCCCTGGGGTGGGGTCACCACCTCCGGAGCTGGGGCCCTCCCGGCGGGCCGCATCCCTGGGGTGGGGTCACCGCCTCCGGAGCTGGGGCCCTTCCGGCAGACCGCATCCCTGGGGTGGGGTCACCACCTCCGGAGCTGGGGCCCTCCCGGCGGGCCGCATCCCTGGGGTGGGGTCACCGCCTCCGGAGCTGGGTCCCACCCGGCAGACCGCATCCCTGGGGCGGGGTCACCGCCTCCTGAGCTGGGGCCTCCCGGCAGGCCGCATCCCCGGGGTGGGGTCACCACCTCGGCGGCCTGCGACGGGGCACGGCACGGCTTCGTGCCTCTTCAGCGGACAGGCGGGGGACTGGGGCGACCGGCGCGGCGGGCGCGCTTCTCGGCGGCCCGGCCCCGTTGATGGTCGGGCGGGAGCTTGCGGCCCCAGGCAGTGGCCGCCCTGATCACAGACGCGTCTCAGGCGCGGATGCAGCGAAAAACGGCGTCCCAGGTGACTGCTGGTCTGTGTGGCGAAGGGTCACGGCCGGCTCTAGCGCAGTGAGCCGTCTGTGGCGTCCTCCCTCGTCGAGCCGTCTGTGGCGTCCTCCCGCGTCGAGGCGTGGTGGAGTATGCATGCAAATGGGCTGGCGCGAAAGCCGAGATGGTGGGAAAGAAACTTCTTGACACTGAACTGGCAGCCCCATTTAACATGCACTGTGAGCACTGTCCGCTGACACACTCCACTTCACTGCTCACTCTACACATCTACACTGCTCCAACAGTGATGAAAAGAAGGGAAATAGTTTGATCATGTGATGTCCTTGACTACCACGGAGTGACTTTTAGGAGAGTTGAAGTGTTTCCCAGTCCTCAGTGTTTGTGGAAAAATTGGTAACATTTATATTTGTGCATTGTATTAGTAAATGAGAGAGCAGCGTACGTACCTTATTCGTCAATGCATTCATCTAACCATTCATCGAGCAAACTGACATCAAAAATCGAACTTGGCACCAACTTTTCACTGCATTTTTGCGTTTTCGCTTTAGTTGGTACTCGGAAAAAGGAAATAAACAAGACTCGACCCGAGCCGTTTGCGCGTCTGGTAAAGGTATGTGTGAGCCGGATTATAGGTGTTGCGGACATTTCTGGTTTGGCTAAGGAGGCTGGTTCAACTCATCAATATTTTCACATAAAGTTGACTCAACAGGACCAATGTGACGGGCGGCAGGTGTCGACTGAAGCGTGTGTTTAAGGCTACGATCCCGCCGTCCAGTGCTGCGGTCACTGTGGCCCTTCTGTGAGGCCTTTGTTAGCTTCCGTTGCCCCAACAACCATCAACATCAGCTCTTCGTTGGTTTTTCCTTCCATTCTAAGTTAATCTGTTATCACCCGTATTGTAATATTACTCGTCAGCGGGGACGGGGTGGACTTTGGGAGGTTATTTCTTTACGTAGGTCTGTCTCACACGTGGCCGAGGTCTGTCCCACATTTTACGTAAGTTTGTTGCCCACCTTACTCAGCTCTTACCACTTTTTAGAGAGATGCGTTTGGCGTAGCGTGGTTTGCGTCCTAGAGAGTGCGTCATTTTGCAAGATTATTATGTAGCGTCAGTTAGCAACTAGCAGAAGGTGGTTAACTTGGCTCCGGGGTCCGGGTCGTGGCCTTGTTTAACGCCAAAACACCTTCGCGGACTTTGCAGTCGTGCCTGAAGGCAACGCATAGGGCTAAATTTTCCGTAGGGTTCCATAGGCATAGGGTTCAAGGCGTCACTCCTCCGTGTTCCCCTGTTCCCATACTGCTATGGAGAACGATGTCACAGTCTTGGTTTGTGTGGGAAAGTGATCCTGTAACTGATATCACCTGCATGACTTGTCGGATGCGTTTATTAGCTACTATTGTCCCTCACTCCCTGTTCTGTCAAGTGTGTTATGTATCGCCGTCGTAGTTGACCGCATGAATGTTAAAAGCTTTGATGGCGAAAATGACGTTTTAACTCCAAAAAATCGGAGCAACTTATCTATCATCAGTTTTGCGTTTTGTCGTGAACCGCAGCTTCTAACGGTGTGGACAAAAACGTTGTTATGGTTAAGTGTTACTGCCGTCCGATCGCCCGTTTTGTGTGCAATCCAATCCAAGCCAGATTTTGTGAGCAATTCAAACAATTTACTACGACGTGCAGAGAAAACCCTGAAAAAAGAAGCGCGTCAGATAAATCATGAAAGTATGCCGCGATGTTACATATGTGTGAATAAAGAATGTTTCTATATCGATAATTTCGGGAAAACCCCGTTCCAAATGACACTACAAATGATCGTTTTCCCTTTCGGCCAAAGAACAGACTTTCTTCTTGAGGTGGATAGAGTCTACGCTGATGCATGCCGTGACGTCACAGTAGGCTTTCTTCACTGGCCATGTGCCTGTGGGACGAGGCTGGCTGGCCCGGATGCAGGCCCCACAGGTGGTGGGTGGAGCCAAGTGTAAGTCTAGGCCCCAGCCAGCGGTAGCCTTTGTCCAGATCAAGTCGGTGAGAGACTGCTTCACCGTATGCAGATAAAATCATAATTTGTTGCCCGATTTTCCTAAGAATTGTCATTAGAAATCTGTGTCAGGGTCTGTTGTGATTAAGCCTTGAATTAGACGCGGTCGAGTGAAGCGTCCAACGATTATGTAGCAACAAACAAAAAAACAACGACGAGGGAAGGGTGTTAGGCCGAAGATAGTTGCATTCTGTGCCGCTTATCGTTTGGTGCAGGGTTAATGCTGGTGCTAAAGCTCCTTTGCCAAGGTTTGACAGTCGCTGACTGTGTTCCCTTAGTGGTCTGCTAACTAAAATTACGGTGGCATTGTCGGTACGCGCTGACGCAAAGGTTGATATTTTGCAGCGCACGGTAGTGTTATAGGTAAGCACATTTAGCCAACAAGCGTATGCGACCGGGTTTCTGTAAGCAACGCGAATGGGCGCTGCATGACCTACAGCAGTTGATGCGCCCTAAAACCCCAAATCATCATCACATGTAAGCAATGCGAATAAGTTGCGACGCTTTTTTTAGCGCAACGGAGGTTTTTCTGAGGTTTGTTGGTGTCGCGCATGTCTATGCGCTGCTGCCCCCGCACCTCACTCGATATATCCGCTGCCACTGGCTGGCTGGCCTGACTCCAGCGGCTGACCCGGTTATAATGCCGCGGGTCGGCGCTGGCCGCGTGCCCCGAACGGGCGACTGTGACAGCGCCTCGCCTTCGGCAGGAGCTCGCTGGATCTGGCGGGCAGCGCCGGCCGGCAGCGCACCACCTCGCGCCACTCGGAGCTGTCGCGGCGCCGCTCCTCCCACTCGGGCGCCTCGCACCAGTCCCTGGACAAGGTCAACCCGGCCAAGAGCGGCTCGCCGGCGGCGGCGGGAGGTACGTACCGCACCGGCTCATTCGCCCTGTTTACGCGCCGGCCGGCTCTCTCCGGCCAACTATGTGAAGCATCTTGTTGTTGCGACCGCTGTTCGGAAGGATGGTATTGCTTCGGCCGAACGCAGTTTGGCGTAAACATGCGGCCGGGCGTGCCCTCGATGGTCAGTAATGGGCCTCCCCGCGATGACGTGCCGCTCGTGTTGCAGCCCAGCTGATTGCGGCGGAGAAGCTGGAGGCTGGCGCCATCTCTGGACGCACATACAAGGCTTACATGCAGGCGGGCGGCGGTTACGTCATGGTGGCGCTGGTGATGGTGGTGTTCATCGTGAACGTCGGCTCGGCGGCATTCTCCTCTTGGTGGCTGTCGCACTGGCTCAACCAGGGCTCAGGGGGTACGATCTGCATGGTGATCCACGGGGACCTGGGGTACACGCTGTGCTAGGATCAACCGGCACGTAGGGGTGGGCACCTTGTCCGATTCAACCGTCGCGTGTTTTGGCTGGCCCAGCCTGGCCCCCGGACATGTTCGTGCTTTGCTCAGCCGGGACTTGGCAGTGCGTTTCATCTATGGCTCATCCGTGGCTTAAGTTATAATGGCTTGAATTCCAAGGCTTATGTGCTATCTTCAATTTATCGAGGCCCCATAAATTTACGATATGTGTATATTCAGTAGACTGGCGAGATAGATGCATTCTGGTTGGTAGGAGAATTGAAGAGCACGTTTAGTTGTCTGTCCCCATTGGTTTTCGATGCTCAATCTGACTGAATTGCCGCAGCTGATGTCACTGGGTCCTTTTAGAGGGTTCGGTAAGGCCTGTCCTAACACAAGCGGATCATGACGCGTTACGAATAGAGGCGTGGCCATGTCGGGTGGGGTGAGGTCTTGGGGTTAACTTGCGTGTGTCCCTTCGTTCTGGACCGATCGCACTTTTTCACCACTTTTGTGCCGGTATGCTGACGTCCGGTCCGCGCGCCCCCCAGAACACGACCATCCGCGTGGGCAACGCGACGATGGTGAGTGATCATATCACCGATCACCCGCGCCTCGGCTTCTACCAGCTGGTCTACGGCTTGTCCGTCATCATCATCCTCATCACCAGTCTCATCCGTGGCTTCTTCTTCATGAAGGTGGGCGGCCTCTGACCAAGCGGTAGCTGCCTTGGGGGGGGGGGGGGGGTCTGACTGACGTAATGCTCCTCAGTGTCACCGATTAGGATCATTCAGTGGTGTCATTTGGACGCCCTTCGGACCATACGTCTACCTTGTTGTTCTTACGTCAAGCTATCTACCGTGTTAATTTGAGTATCTCGTTCACTACCCCTTGTGTGTGCTACCGACGAAGTATTCGAACGTTCAAGTCCCACCCAGCTTCTCGGTGAAACGTGCATTGCTGCAATTTGCTATTAACTGCATCCACCTGGTTACATTTGTGAGTACTGTAGAAGTGAGCCTGGCGTGAAACATTTTGACGCGGTCTTCTTAGCGATATTTGACCCTGTCATCTGTTCGATGTGAAACCTTTCTTCTGTGTGACATCTGGCCCTGTCCTCTGCGTGACATCTAAGCCTTTCTTCTGGGCGATATCTGACCCTATCCTCTGTGTGATATCTGACTTGTCCTCTGTGTGACATATCAACCTTCCGTCTGGGTGATTTCTGACCCTATCTTGTGTGTGTGGCATCTGACCCTGTCCTCTGTGTGATATCTGAACCTTTCTTCATGATGACGTGTGACCCTATCATCTGTGTGACATCTGTCCGTACCCTATGTGTGACATCTGACCTTGTCCTCCGTGTGACATCTGACCCTACCCTATGTGTGACATCTGGCCCTATGCTCTGGGTGCCATCTGACCCTGCCCTATGTGTGACATCTGACCTTGTCCTCCGTGTGACATCTAACCCTACCCTATGTGTGACATCTGACCTTGTCCTCCGTGTGACATCTTCCCCTACCCTATGTGTGACATCTGACCTTGTCCTCCGTGTGACATCTACCCCTACCCTATGTGTGACATCTGACCTGTCCTCCTTGTGACATCTGACCCTACCCTATGTGTGACATCTGACCTTGTCCTCCTTGTGACATCTGACCCTACCCTTTGTGTGACGTCTGACCCTATGCATCTGGGTGACATCTGACCCTGTCCCCTGTCCGCCAGCTGACCCTGACGGCCTCCAGCCGGCTGCACGACCGTCTGTTCCACAAGCTGCTGCGCGCGCCGATGCTGCTGTTCGACACGACGCCGGCCGGACGGCTGCTGAACCTGTTCTCGCGGGACCTGGACGAGAGTGAGTCGGTCCGGGGGCGGCCGGCTGCGCACGTGGCAGCGGTGGCGCCGCACGCTGGGACGGCCGGCGCCCCAGCGGCGGCTGCCGGGGGTCCTACCGGGTGGTCCCAGTGCTGACGGCATTTGTAGGAGCTCGAGAGTGCCGAGAATGCGGGCGCTTAGCTCCGTGCCGTGGTCCATGAACAGCACGGGCATTGCGAGCCTGCGTATTATCGTGATCCAGTGGCGTGGGGGATATCCTGGTCTATCCGTGTCAACCGATAGTGTTGTAGTTATTCATCCAGAGGCAGGCATTACAATTCAACAGGGGGGGGGGGGGGGGGGCAGCTGCCTTTTATCAGACATTGCTCTGTGGGACCACATGTGTGACATTTCACTGGGAAGTGCGGACAGTGCCCAATCAATCGGACCATGTTAAATCGATCAGATCAGTGGAATTCCGCGCCCAGCTGCCTGGATGTCCGCTTCATGTTGCAACCCGTCCTTAGAGTTCTTTCATTTTATTTTAAATCACGACCTGCTCCTTCCATTTCGTTTTCAGACGATACTGGTCTGCCATATCCTTCTACAATTGACCGTCTCCTGCTGTTGTGTTTTTTGCTGACGTTCACTTGATAACCTGTTCGCGATTGATGCGGGCATGTTCCCTAGCTGACTCACTTCCCTTATTTTGTTCTCCAACTGACGCTCGTCCTCCTTTTTCTTCCGCAGTTGACGTGCGCCTGCCGTTCACCACCGAGACGTTCCTTCAGAACACACTAATGATCCTGACCTCGCTGTTCTTCGTGGCGCTCGTCTTCCCCTGGTTCCTGCTTCCGTGGTCGTCATTGCGGCCGTCTTTCTCGGCATCCGCACTGTGTTCAAGTAAGTTTGTCTGACGTCCCTCGATGTCTGTGGAGTCACCAGCTGACCTGGGACGGGTCAGAAGCACGCTTTGATAAAAACGCTGGGTGGCTCCAGGCCACAAGGCATCGTATGTTTGGACCATGGCACCCTCTGTGCTGCCCCCAGTGCGGATGTTGGTGGCCACCCCCTCCCCCTGTACTGCCCCAGTGCGGATGTCGGCCCTCTGTGCTGCCCCCAGTGTGGATGGTTGGCCCCAGTGCTGCCTCAGTGAAGACGTCGACCCTCTATGCTGCCCCAGTGCGAATGTCGGCCCTCTGTGCTCTCCCCAGTGAGGATGTTGGCTGTCTATGCTGTCCCCAGTACGGATGCCGGCCTTCTGTGCTGCCCAGTGCGGATGTCGGCTCTCTGTACTGCCCAGTGCGGGTTTCGGCCCTGTGTGCTCTCCCCAGTGCGGAGTCGGCCTTCTGTGCCGTCTCCAGTGCGGATGTCGGCCTGTGTGCTGCCTCAGTGCGGATGTCGGCCTGCGTGCTCTCCCAGTGCGGGTGTCGGCCCTGTGTGCTCTCCCCAGTGCGGATGTCGGCCTTGTGTGCTATCTCCAGTGCGGATGTCGGCTTGTGTGTTGTCTCCAGTGCGGGTGTCTGCCTGTGGTGCTCTCCCAGTGCGGATGTCGGCCTGCGTGCTGTCTACGGTGCGGATTCGGCCTTCTGTGCCGTCTCCAGTGCGGATGTCGGCCTCTGTGCTGTCTCCAGTGCGGATGTCGGCCTTGTGTGCTGTCTACGGTGCGGATGTCGGCCTTGTTGCTGTCTCCAGTGCGGATGTCGGCCTTGTGTGCTGTCTACGTGCGGATGTCGGCCTTGTGTGCTCTCCCCTGCGGATGTCGGCCTTGTGTGCTGTCTCCAGTGCGGATGTCGGCCTTCTGTGCTGTCTCCAGTGCGGATGTCGGCCTTGTGTGCTGTCTCCAGTGCGGATGTCGGCCTGTGTGCCGTCTACGGTGCGGATGTCGGCCTTCTGTGCTGTCTCCAGTGCGGATGTCGGCCTTCTGTGCTGTCTCCAGTGCGGATTCGGCCTTCTGCTGTCTACGGTGCGGATGTCGGCCTGTGTGCGTCTACGGTGCGATGTCGGCCTTCTGTGCTGTCTCCAGTGCGGATGTCGGCTTCTGTGCTGTCTCCAGTGCGGATGTCGGCCTTGTGTGCTGTCTACGGCGCGGATGTCGGCCTTGTGTGCTGTCTCCAGTGCGGATGTCAGCCTTCCGTACTACCCCCAGTAAGGGTGTCGGTGGCCATCCGCTGTCCTCAGTCTGAGTGCCGCTTACCGTCTGCCGTGCCCTCAGCGTGGGCGTTCGCGACCTGAAGCGACTCGAGAACGTGACCCGAGCGCCGACCTACAGCCACGTCATCACCACGTGCAGGGGCTGGGCACCATCCACGCCTTCGGCAAGGAGCGCGAGTTCACCAACAAGTGAGCCGGCGGATGATGAGAGTTGAATAGATATTGCCGTGTGAGAGATTGTCACGATCGAGACATTTTGGTCATCAAACCTTTCGGACATGGGCATGCAGTGCCGCTTGAGGTCTTGCGCGTCGTCGGGTGATCCTCGAGGTCCAGCTGTTTGTTTAGATAGTGTGTGATGGGCCTGTGCTGGGGCCGCTTTTGGTGAATCCATCGCAGCATGTTGCTGCGTTTGTTAGGGTCGACATGCATTTTCGACTAAATCTTGTGCTTGTGCTGACACGTGTGTTTGAAACAGACATGCGTGTCCTCAGGTTCATGGGACAGTTTGATGAAAACTCAGCCGCCTTTTTCCTGTTTAATTGTTCCATGAGATGGGTTGCCATCCGTCTGGATAGTCTTACAGGTGAGCTAAGCCAACTTGGGTACCTTCTTTGGTCCAGACTGAATGCGGGGAAACCTGTCGCCACTTCCAGACCCGCCCGTTTTTGTATTTTTACGGCGCAGTAGCTCCGTTTTCAAGCACATACGGTGTCTTGATTGCCTCGTATTTTCGTCTCTTATGGACGTCGTGTTTATTTTTTTTATGTTTTCAGCTCCGGATGTTGTCCTGCGCACCCATGCATAGCTATTCTTAGGCCTGTATTGATGCACTAGTTTCACCCAGCGTCACAGCTCAGATCCGTCACAGCTCACAGATCCGCCACGGCTCGCGGATGTGTCTCAGCTCAAGATCCGTCTCAGCTCAGATCCGTCACACACCCCGGTCCGTCACAGCTCACAGATCCGTCACATCTCACAGATCCGTCACATCTCACAGATCCATCAGAGCTCACACATCCGACACAGCTCGTAGATCCGCCACAGCTCGTAGATCCATCACAGTTCACAGATCCGTCACAGCTCACAGATCCGTCACAGCTCACAGACGTCACGATGCTCAGATCCGCATGTGTGCCGACGATACCGTGCACCCGTGCGAGCCTCTCGGGTGCCTCGTCTGACCCGCGCGTGACGCGCGTGTCGGGCAGTGACCATCACGGCCCTGACGGCGGTGTTCGTGCTGGCGACGCATGGCTCGGTGCCGGCGGCGTTCGCCGGCCTGGCGCTGGCGTACGCCGCGCAGCTGTCCGGCCTGTTCCAGTTCACCGTCCGGCTGAGCAGTGAGACCGAGGCGCGCTTCACCTCCGTGGAGAGGATCGACGCGTACACGGCGGTGAGTGCGGCGCGAGCGGCCGGGAGGGAGGGGACGCTCCGCACCCCTGGAGGGGATTGTTACCTCGCGGGATATTGTCTGACAGCGTAACAACTGGCAGTGGCCAGGCAAAGTTCGAGTGCGGACTGGTACGGGGAGCGTCGGTGGGCGTCTCGTGAGCCAGCTGCAGCTCCCCGCGACGGCGTCCGTGAGTCCGCCCGTGCGAGCTCGTCTCGCTGACGTCACGTCCGTCCCCGCTCGGCCGCGGTCTCCCTGGAGCTGGCAACAGAAGAGCGCGCTCATCGGCGCATTGGCCGCGATCCTGGCGGAGTTGGTCATATGACGGTGCGCCTGTCCGTGTCCTGGCCGCAGACGCTGGACCAGGAGCGGCCGGCCGTCACGGACACCCGGCCGGCGGCCGACTGGCCGCGCCAGGGCCGCGTCACCTTCAGCAACGTGCGCCTGCGCTACCGGCCCGAGCTGCCGCTGGTGCTCAAGGGCATCTCGTTCGACGTCAACGCCGAGGAGAAGATCGGTTAGTGCCGTCGCGCCTCGCCGGACCTCTCCGAGCGGGGATGGTCCGTGGGGGCCGAAGTGGGTGTGCGAGTCCTGTGCCCCCGCCCTCCGTCAGTCGTTGGCTCGTGGGGCAGTCCGCGCCGCGTGTGGTGCGAGTATGAGTCATCCCCTGCCTCACCTTCCCCTCTCTCCCGGCAGATGTGTGTGTGCCGCCGGAGGTATCGCGGCTGTCCCCTCACGTCATACTGTGTGCGAGTCCTGTGCCCCCGCCCTCCGTCAGTCGTTGGCTCGTGGGACAGTCCGCGCCGCGTGTGGTGCGAGTATAAGTCATCCCCTGCCTCACCTTCCCCTCTCTCCCGAGAGATGTGTGTGTGCCGCCGGAGGTATCGCGGCTGTCCCCTCATGTCATACTGCCCGCTCTGCTCAGGGCTCGTTCAGTGGCGGCGTGGTGCAGAGGGCGTGTCTGAGCCACGCCGGCCGCCCCGGTCCCAGCGTCGCTTACGGCCTGAGCGGCAGCACCCCAGTCGTGCCCCGGTCACGCCCCGCTCTGCCGCCCGCGCAGGTATCGTGGGCCGCACCGGCTCGGGCAAGTCCTCGATCGGCTGTGGCGCTCTTCCGGCTGGTGGAGCCCGAGTCGGGCCGGGTGCTGGTGGACGGCGTGGACGTGGCGGCCGTCGGTCTGGCCGACCTTCGGTCGCGGCTGTCCATCATCCCGCAGGACCCGGTCCTGTTCCTCGGCACGGTCAGGTGACGAACGGGGCACGCAGCCGCCGCGCAGCTAGTGCGCGCCTGCTGCTGTGGGGGCATCGTAACCCAGCTTGCTGTAACTGGCTGGTGAATGAGAGCAAGGCGCGGTTTAAGAGGTTAGGATTGCGGCTTTCAACGGGTCGAGGCCTTTCCAACACGATCACACTCGACCCCGAGCGGTAGCCTGTTCGGCTTGCGGTCCATTTTTAGATATTTAACCAGAAGCTCTTGAATGGATGGATTTATGGGATGAGGGCTCACGCTAAGCAGTGCATGTTTGAGCCCTGACCAGTAATATCCGATCGTGCAATTCCAAGTCAGCGGCAGAATTTGGTAGCGAATTTGAGACCGGTGTGGTGATGCTCAGCACTGTCCGTCCTGTCCTGCCCTATGATGTTACCTGACCTTTAGTGCGACCGCTACCAGCGGCTGCGGGCCATAGCTATCAAGGGAAAATGGCGAGCGCCTAATGCGACTCGAACCCACCCGACCGCGGGTGGACGGATCGGAAGGCAAGCGTGCTAACCAGCTGCGCTCTCGGGGCGGGCAGTCTAGCATGCGGTGGCCATGCCTGGCGCGCATGTCTCGGGGTATTTAGGTTCCGGCGCACATGCCTGCCACAGCCGGCCTGCGGCGCAGTGTCGCCTGTGACGGTCTTGACGAGGGGGAGGGGGCGCGTGTTACCGCTGCCCCAGCTGACTGCCGCCGCCGGCGGCGCAGTGTCGCTGTGACGGTCTTGACGTGGGGGAAGTGACGCGTGTTACCGCTGCCCCAGCTGACTGTTGCCGCGGCGGCGCAGGTACAATCTGGACCCGTTCGAAGATTACTCGGACGCCCAGGTGTGGCAGGCGCTGGAGCGGACCCACATGAAGCAGAAGGTGGCCGCCCTGGAGCACCAGCTGATGGCGCCCGTGCTGGAGAACGGAGAGAACTTCAGCGTCGGCGAGCGGCAGCTGATCTGCATGGCCCGCGCCCTTCTGAGGCACTCCAAGGTCAGTCAGGGGCGTACTCGACTCGCCGGGGTCGGTGACGTAGCCAGGGCTCGAGCCTGAGGGGCACATGGCGCGCAGAACTGGAAAACTTCATCAACCCGACCCCGCTTTCCTGGATTTGGGAAAGGTCCCGGATTCCGTCAAGCTTATTTTGAGAAAGAAGGCAGGTATTTTACCCAAGAGCAGGCAACAAGGCGTGCCTTTGAGTCTATTCCGGCAAATGGATCAATCGTACGTTAGCACCAAGGCATAAAACCAAGCCGCGGTATTCCCAGCCATGAAGTGTAAGCAAACGTAAGCAGGAAAAAGACGGGGCGGTGTGGGTCCATCGGGATCAATGCTCCGCGGTAAGCCCTAGCTCTTAAGCTTAGTAGATTGGGGATTGCCCGCGCTTCCATGGGTTTTCAGCTGGCTAACCGTGCCCCGCCCACGCGCCTGCCTACGGTGTGAATGTCGAGCCGGTCTGGTCACGTGGCGACCGCGCTGAGTGTCGTGCCGACCTCAGGCCGTTGGCCGCAGATTCTGCTGATGGACGAGGCTACGGCTTCGATCGACACGGAGACGGACGCGCTGATCCAGTGCACCATCCGCGAGGCGTTCCAGAGCTGCACGCTGCTCACCATCGCACACCGGCTCAACACGGTGCTGGCCTCCTCCCGGGTGCTGGTGCTGGATGCTGGACAGGTGCGTGCTGCGCCGGCGGCGCCGATCGTGCAGCTGTTGCGGTGTCCGTGTCGGGGATGTGTGCTGGCAGCGGCCTCTAGGACGCCGCCGAGGTTTGTGGAGATCGAGCGTGCTGGTGTGATGCAGTGGCCGGGGGAACGGACCATTCTTCGTTCTAGGAATTCAAACATGCGACTGAAACTCCATATGCTTCCTTATCTCTAAATGGACCGGACGGGAGGTGAGAAAGGACGGTATACCCCGTGTGCAACGGCCTGAGCTCAAGAAAAGTGTGAGGCATTTGGCAGACTATGACGCGGGCAAGTGCACGGTTATAGCGTGGTGTTACGTGCGCGTGTCCTACGCGCGTAGAAACGACCGTGGGAATGAACCATGACACAAATGTTGGATGTATTTCCTCAGGTCTGTCCCTACATGACACGCTGAGTTTGGAGGCGAGCGCCTGGTGTGACGCCTTCAGAGGAGTTGCATTTGACGTGCGGTGTACACCATTTCATGCGTTGGAAACCTGGCTTGTCTGAAATGAATCGTCTCCAGGTGGTGGAATTCGACAAACCGTCCGTGCTGCTCGCCAAGCCCAATTCGATCTTCGCTGGTATGGTGGCGGCGGCCAACGCAGCAACCAACGCCGCCGGGGAACGCCACGGCAACGACGAGTCTGTCGCTCCGCCAACAGATGGCGCGCCCGTCGGCCACGAGTCTGCGGAGCCACCGCCAGACGACCCCACCGTCGGTGGTGACTGATTCGAACGCACAGATAGCGGGCGTAGGAAATGAACGAGCAAAGAACCACCTAGCATGGGTGGCGCGTTTGTCGTGGATGTGTGGCGTACTGCGGGCGGGGACAGTTAATGTGGCATGTCTGTGTGGCAGGTTTTTGTTTGTTGGGCTCAACATTCATTCACTTTGCTTGGATGCTGTTGTTCAGTGGTGATGTGGTGCAGTAGATCTCAGACAAATCGTATTCATCTTAATATGCCAACACGGTACCATAATTTTATCACAGGGAGTCGATTTTGTGTTTGCCACGTTGATTTGGGATTCTTAGCTGATAGTGGTGCAATAGTTATTTGTTGTATTTTACAAAATCATTCGTGCAATCAGACTAGATTAAATTTATGCGAAATGTTATATGTAGAACGAAGGGCACAGTGTGGATTATGCAACAACGATGTCTGTTCTTCATTTTGCTTTCTGCGTCAATTGTCCGGTGCACCTGCTGCGCATATCTAGTTACAGTTGTGTAACTAGATGCACACGCACACACACATGCACGCACGCACGCACGCACGCACGCACGCACGCACGCACGCACGCACGCGCGCGCGCACACACACACACACACAACACACACACACACACACACACACACACACACACACACACACACACACACACACACACACACACACACACACACACACACACACACACACACACACACACACACACACACACACACACACACACACACACACACACACACACGCACACACACACACACACACACACGCATGCGCACACGCAAACGCACACGCACACGCATATATATGCACACACGCACACACACACACGCCGCACACATCGTGCGCTACCGTGAAAATGCTCTGCGATGTGACTAGCTACGAAATCGCTTTCGATTTGTGTTTTGCTTGATAGCCCCCGCCGCAGCATACCGTGTGCATTGGTATGCGTTGTCACTTCGCAAGTTGACATGCTTTGCTGTCAGGACCATTCCAAGATGGCAGCTCCACACCGAGTAGCGTTGTCATCCTCGCGACATTACGGCATCTTGTCTGCCGAGAGCGTCTTTGCTGGCCTCTGTAGGACTCCGGATGCGCGTTGGTGGGCGGAAGGGATCCCACACAAGTGCTTCTACTGAACAGACAGCTGTTGCGGCTGTGTGTCAGCTGTTGAACCGGAGTGCGTCTGGCGCACAAGTCTGTCTGCGTCTCCGTACGTGTATGTGTGTGCCGTGTGTGATACGGCACGGTCACGTGTCTTATGGTGTGGCTTAGTCGATCCTCGGTGGTCCCGTTCATGTGCTGTTCTGTTATCTGAGAAATACTATTTGACCGTTTTGAGGGGCGTTTTGCACCCGTCGCGGAGTCGCCGCCGGCGCCGCGCGCGGTCAGCAAGCCTTGGTGAGACAGCTGACTGGAGTTGTGACCCTGCCGACCCGGGTTGTCAAAACTGACACCCGGCGTGAACTCCGAAACAGATGCCACGTGCACCGTGGCTGTTGATCGATTTGCTGTAAGAGGCCGTGACCGACGCTTACGGCACCACGGAAACGGGGCTAAATCAGGGATGGCAGAAGATTCATATGGGACACGGGCTTGAAAGTACTTTTCCAGGCTCATGGCACGAGAAGTGAAGTATAGTACCCTGCTTTCTGAGCTTATTCCCAGGAACTTGACAGTCGTACAGCGTGCTCTTAAAGCGTGCAAAATACGAGTGATGGCCGTCGTCTTTTTCAGGTTTGAGCATCCTGATTACACCATATCTCAGATTATGTCTCAGACTGTGCGCCCACCAGACCCTGGGGAATTAAATAACCTTAGATCATTTGAAACGAAATGTGGCTTCCTGACTGTGTCCCTGGATTAGAACTCACGCATCACGGTCGTTAAAGAAGGGTGTAAAGCGAAATAATGTTCAAAAAATATTGTCATTCGCATATGTGCGTCAACGGGCAGGATATGGCATGAGCGCAAGCGCGTAACGGCATGACCTGTGACGACATTTGAGCATGGATGACGCCGGGGTGGAAAATACAGACGTGGCCACGGCGAAAAACAGCATGAGAGAAAGAGAGAGAGATCAGCTGACTACTAACTGACTTGAGAGCAGAGAGAGCTGAATTTGTGACCCTATCTCAGCTTCAGACAAAGCGTTGGGTTTCAAGGGTAAAGCGAACGTAGGGCGTCGCCGCACCGCGGCGTGGAAAAAAAGCTGATGGCGATGCTTGCCAGGTCGTCCGCAGGCGGTTTTGATTAGCTTGGCTTGGCCTGCGACACACGCGCCTCGAAGGTAATGGATCAACAGAGCTGGCCAGGGTGAATCTCACCATAAAGTGCGTAGAACAGACCTGCGCTCAGTTCCAGATGTTGTTGGAACCAGCTCTAAAGCAACTACGCTTTTGAGTCCAGGCGGAATCGATGCCGCTCTGAAAACCGGTCGTGAGCCAGAGCCGGAGTTGAGCTAGCCAAAGCCTGTGTGAATCTACACCAGTAAAAATGCATGTAGCAACATAAATCAGAAGTCCACAAGCTTATATGTGCAACACAAGCGTTTTATGTTGGAAGATTATTTTACTTGTTGCGTTGATCGGGAACGCAGTCGGAGCAAATTCCAAGCATTCGAGTCCTGGTCCAAAGTGATTCCAATTGATGCCCGCAAACGCGCACAACCTGCGCGCAAGCTCATGCACAAGTCGGAGGAATTTGCGAGCTCTCCAATGTTTCTAAACGCCTACCTGGCTATGCGCGTGCCGTGTAGAAATGGTGTGCTGTGCGCCTCTCGATTGTTCTGAAAACGGAACGATCTGGCAATTCGTACTGAGCAAATATGAGGCTGTGATAAAGGTACGAATGCACGACTCTAAAATGTATATGTACTTTAGAATGATGATGATGTCTGATGAGTCATAAGCGCCCATCATTCTCGATGGCTGTGGTTGTGGCTGTTGGTTGGCCGCGTATCTTTACGTCTTTATGCCTCTATGTTTATGCATTGGGAAACATGCACGGTAAATACTTGGCCGGCACGTGCGGTAAGGCAAAGTTGCCCACACAACCTTTTGGAAAGAAAATGCAACATTTTGAAATGCAAATTCCCATGCCGAGTGGGAAATATGTAAGCAAATTGTAACGCAAAAATATCATTTATGGAGGAAATTCACATTTGGAGTTGGCAGAATGCTTTTCAATTAGATATGTAAATGTTGGGTTGTTGAGGCCATTAAATCGACCCAAAGTGAAAAATATAATTTGTATCTGAAGATTTTAGTCCATGTGCTTACGCGCGACTAGGATCACGCACGACACTGCAACTGAGCGGCGGTTGGCAACCAGTGTATCAGCCGATCGCGTACCGCAGGGATCACGTTCTTACATTTACACAACCAGTGAGTCAGCCGATCGCGTACCGCAGGGATCGCGTTGTTACATTTACACAACCAGTGAATCAGCCGATCGCGTACCGCGGGGACCACGTTGTTACATTTACACAACCAGTGAATCAGCCGATCGCGTACGGCGGGGACTATGTTGTTACATTACACATCCAGTGAGTCGGCCGATCGCGTACCGCAGGGACCACGTTACATTTGCACAAGCCGATAAGATGTTTACTCAAAATAAAACCACACGCGCGTACACACAGGCGTGTCATTTTCTTTCACTTTGCGTGGCTCCGTAAATTTTGTCTTGCAATCTTTTAAATGCTTAAGTCCGATTTGTGGGCTAATTTCGCCAAGTGGGGTTAATTATTCGCAGAGCAGCACAAAACTTGTGGGCAGTCGCGAGGTCTCGCTGAGACCAATCCTCGCGTATTTTTTCGCGACGCTGTATCATTCTCAGACTGGAAAAAAGCAGGAGGCTAAGTCGAGCCTCCCGTTCCCCTCTGTCAGTTAGCGTTATGGAAAAAAACGGCGAATCCGGGCAAGGGTTAAATGGATCGTACGGGCTTCCTTCCTGAAATAAGTTGCTAGTCTTATGCATTCATTTCAGATGCAAACAACTCAGGGCACTTTTGAAGCCGCAAGGTGCTTATGTAAGCCGTGAAGCCAATTTGGGACAGCACCTTTTCGTGTTGGTATGTAAGAGATCAAAAGCGTTGCGTCAGCGTGATTGTGCAGAAAATGCGCCATAGCATCCTGGCTAATTTTGGAACGTGTTGGCATGCAAAGGATGAAGCAATTCCCTCAAAAATGGTGCAATCACTGGACTTCTTATTCCTTGATCCATGTGTTCCTAGAATTACTTAAAGGGGAATATTCCACGTTTGAAGATATCGAGGCAAGCCTCAGATATGATGAAATACAGTCATTTGTTACTCATGGTATACTCTCAAGTGTCAAAGATTGCTCTGAACACCCCACTTTCATAATTCATTAAATATACTACTCGTTACGTCATCGTTTGATCGCGCCATGAAACGTTGTATGACGTCAGAGCGACGTCGACTAAGTAAACTCCCGAGCGGTATGGTGCTAAGCGGTGCGGTGTTTTCAGAACTGAAATGTCGTTAAGTGTGCTTGTTCTGGCTCCGTTACTTGGTATTCTTGCTCATCGATCCGTGATTTTAGTGTTGACTTGCGTTCACTTGCTCGGTTATGGCGCTACTTTTAAGTTGTTCGGTTGCAAGTCTTGCTTTCGTAATAACTAGTACCTTTGTCCAACTTCCCGTATTATGAAGCACAAAACGCGATTCGTGTTTGAAACTTTCACTGAATTTTGCTATAGGTTGACAGCCAACTGAAGTCCGTTCGTTCCAGAAGTCGTGCCCACGCACGCCAGACACGAATAACTCGGCGATCACATTTGTCTTGGCCTTGAACGCCGCCTGACCAGTTGGATAGCAGTAATTAAGTGATGTCCCTAAGGTCCCTGGGTGACCCTGAAATAATCTGCACGAAATAGTTTACACAACTTTGCCGAAGTTTGGCCTAGAAACCAGAAGGCTTAATATTTTGAGAAAGACAGGGCTGTGAACTGCGCCGAATCATCTTCAAAGTGTTATCTCAGTTCAAAACCTCATGCAAATGTTGAAACTCCCTTTAATTTTCTTGGAAATTCTCGTGCAAAATCCCATCTTGTGAAGGTCCCAGTATTCTTCCATTTGAAAGACAGCATAGCTCTGTTCGTATTATCGGACGGGCGGCGCTTGGATGGAAAGACCGAACACACCACCTCCGGACGTCATGCTGCGTGCTCTGCATTAATCAGGATTAATTGGAAGCTAAAGGAAGACTGACGTCTGACTTTGGGCTACCAGAAACATGACGCCTCAGACGTGAGGAACAAGCCAGAATAAACAAACACTCGGCAGCGGTGCTTCATCTTCCACGCGTTTTGAGCTGAACGTTTCAACAGGGCCGTGGAAACAAACTCGGCGACAGGAGTTTCCCACCGAGTTCTCCAGCCATCATTCAAAGACAAACTCATGGCGTTGGTGATATGATTTCAGTGAATCGGGATGCTTTTTTTTCGCGTACAAGCTTGTGACTTAGAAGGGACCGAGCAGTCCGAGCCAGGGACAGATTAGGAGAGTTTCCACTGAGGGCTTATACTTAACCATGTTAAAGTTGTTCACCTCACCGCCCTCGACGAAGTCACTCAAAACATGTAACCATTTCACCCCAGCTGCCGGTTCGTGATTATACAAGCCGCACTAGATGCGTTCTTGGTTGCCACCCAGTGATGACGACAGTGCATGCGCCTCACGTGTGTGCACATGCCGTGCACTGCCGATATCGGCGGAGGCCCGCACGCGCCGGCCCGTGCGCGGCGGCGCGGCGGCCGCGCTCGGCACCTGGCGGGCCGGCGCGCCCTGGCGGGGCAGCCCCGGCCCGGGCTGCGCCGCTGACACTGTTTCGGCGAAGGTCGAGCGTGGCCGCAGGCACGGGTGCGCTGGGGCCGGGCCTGCTGGCCGCAGTCGGCCGCCGCGCGCCAGCCGCACTTTCACGGCGTGCGCTCCGCCGCCGCGTGTCAGCCGCCGGTGCCCGCTCCGCTGCTCAGGTCAGTCCGGCTACGGCCCGCTCGATTTGAGCAGAGGCTGGCCACAGAGGGCACGGTCGTCTGCTGAGTATGCCTCCAGTGATTTCCAGGGGTTGCGGATGGTTCCCAGCAGCTTGCGTTGTGTTTATGTGCATATCCGGGGTGGTTGTTTCACCAATGCGCAAACGTATCCTGCTCGAAGCAATAAAATGTTTGATTAGGCTGAAACATTATAATGATGGAGACGAAACGTTGCGAAATAGTACGTGTCGGGTTTTAATCAGAGCCACATTTCCTGCAGTAAATGTGCCGCAGCCGGGAAAGCCTTGCCAGCACAGCCGGCTAAGGAGGGGGGAGGGGGGAGAGGGCGGGGGCATCAGCGCAAAAATCCTGCATCAGCCGATCGCAGTGTGCTAGTAGTAGGTGGCATATAACATTCCACAAGCAGGTAGGCATTCATTATCACAGTGCGTGATCCCGAAATATACCTATATTTGGTTGGAGGCATAGAGCTATTACGCTTAAAGAATCGCTGACTGCAGATGACCCATTTGATATCGCTGAAACGTTAAAATGTCATTAACCCCCGTTGGTCATTATTCGTTAGAGGAGTGTGGCCTGAGTTGTATCACTGTCCAAGTAGCATCAGTGGGATTTATTCCAAATATATGCGACGGATGACAGCATTGAATCACTCAGCTGACGCACAGCAGCTCCCTCCACCTTTCAGTGTACTTCCGACTGCATCCGTGCACGCGTCTTGGGGTGGGTGAGACAAAGGTGTGTTTGCGTGCCGTTTAAAAGTGTAACGATCGGTGTAAATTCGTGTTTAAGGGCTTACAGCATAATGCGACTGATATGATTGTTATACTGGGTGGCGGGGAAGTACGTGCGCCGTATATGGTGCAAAGCATTTTCCATTTGTTCATCAAGGACTTTGGGGTGGCGCGAACTTTCTTCCAAGATCTTGTGTGCTACTGCTGCATCAGCTTTGCATGGGTCATGTTATATCGTTGATGCAGTGCATCGACAATATGTCATTGACTGACAAAATCGCCGTGACTTATCGCCATTTAGACGAATCAATATGTGCATTACCTGCGTAGATCCATAATATCTACCTGAGCACCCAAAACTGAGGGAGTGGTTAGAATTGAAACACTGACTAAAAGGGGCAGACGTGTTATTTCGCCACCACGACGAATTACGAAATAGCACAGACGAGCGCGTTCGGCCTGCGTGTCGAGGCGCATTCAGCTCGCTGGGGATCCGACGTACTCAATAAAAAACACATAACCACGGCTCCCCCCCCCCCCACCCCCACCCCCACCCCCCACCACAAACACACCAGGTGAAGCAATTGGCCCCAGAGTAGCGCAGATTGTGTAATTTGGAAGCGGTTCGTTCAGAAAGCATTTAACCAAAAACGAAGACGTGCTCTCCAAAAATCTAGCGTTGTAACTGAAGCTAAAAATTTTAGCTTCTACAGCTATCAGAATTGTAGTCCAATCCTCAGAAGTTATGGCAGGGAGGGCACAGAGTGAAAACTGACACCGCTCTTCCCACGCTCCCTTCATCGCCACGTGAAGCGTGTTAGTGGCTGACCTCATGGTTTTTTAGTATTGCTATATATTACGTAAGAGTTCAGTCCAGACCATGCCCCTGTTTCATTTTGTTTCGAAATTTGTGACGTCATAACCCGCTCCAAGATATACCGGTTGGCGTGAGGCTGCTGCCCAGCGCGGCCTCCCACTGTGCACTGGTGTCCACAGTCCCAGGTCCAGTGAATCTCGAGTACGGTCCCCACCAGCCTGGCCACGGCATGCGGTCCTCCATCTCGACACCGACGGTAGGAACTTGCTTTTTTCGTTCATTTCTTTTTCTTCGCTGGAACATTCTATCACTGTGTGACTAAAATGCGGTAAGCATGTTTGCCAAAAGATCGTTTGCACATGACATGCGCCACCTCCCAGGGATACAATATGTGCATGTAAAAATGCCGAGCAAATGAAAACTAGGCCGGACGAGTAGCATATATCTGCCAAAGCATATCTGGCATCAGCAGATATCTACCAAAGCATCTCTGGCATCAGCAGATACCTACCATAACATCTCTGGCATCAGCAGACACCTACCAAAGCATCTCTGGCATCAGCAGATATCGACACAAATGCATCGCGCATTCAAATGATCTATTGTGTAACACACCGCGAACCATTATCGCACACGATGTTCATAAATGCGACACCCATGCACGATGCTATGGGACGAACTGGTCTTGTAAGTACGAGCTAGGGTGGAGGCCATCCGGCGTATAGGCATCAGACGGCATGAAGACAAGGTGTAAGACACGATGCGGCAGCCCTCTGACCTATTTGGTGAAGACAGGGGTGCTCTCCCGCCTTTCTGACGCATCCAGCTAAAGTTTCACATCACTACAACTGATTGGCGTAATATCCGACAGCTGGCGCCTCTGCTGAGCTCAGTGCAGCTTCAGCACCCGTAGAGTCAGCCAGAGACGCTGTTCACTGCGCGCCTGTCCGCTCTTTAGCCCAGCTCTTCCCGTTACCATATACGCCTCGCCCGCGCCAGGCCTTGTAGCGCGCATCCCGACAAAACGTCGGTTTGTCCTCCACACGCGACAGCTCCGTAGGGCTCCCTCGAGGAAGGTCGAGCGGGCGGGCCTGGTGTCTGAAGGTCGTGTGCCCATCCCCGACGTCTGGTCGGGCTCAGCGTGCCCTGCTCTCATGGGGGGGGGGGGAGACTGCGCCGCAGTCCCGGGCACGGCGCTGGCCTGGTCTCGTGAGGGGGGAGAGACTGCGCCGCAGTCCCGGGCACGGCTCTGGCCTGCTCTCATGGGGGGGGGGACTGCACCACAGTCCCGGGCACGGCGCTGGCCTGGTCTCGTGAGGGGGGAGGAGACTGCACCACAGTCCCGGGCACGGCGCTGGCCTGGTCTCGTGAGGGGGAGAGACTGCGCCGCAGTCCCGGGCACGGCTCTGGCCTGCTCTCATGGGGGGGGGGGACTGCACCACAGTCCCGGGCACGGCTCTGGCCTGCTCTCATGGGCGGGGGGGGGGACTGCACCGCAGTCTCGGGCACGGCTCTGGCCTGCTCTCATGGGCGGGGGGGGGGACTGCACCGCAGTCTCGGGCACGGCGCTGGCCTGCTCCCATGGGGGAGACTGCGCTGTGGTCCCGGGCTCACCAGACCGCCGTATGGCGGCTCGCCGGACTGCCGTATGGCGACCCGCCAGATCAGCGACACCGCCGTTCCGGGCGGCCTCGTCCCGCCACGTCCAGCGCCCAATGTCGCTCGGTGGGGATCGGGCTGGTTACAAGGCTGCTGGGGTGGGGCCGAATGCGGACGACAGGGACGTGCGCGTGCCAGTCAGGCGGCACGTCCGCTGTTGTCTATGAGAGGGCCACGCACAGCGGATTAGGTTCAGACTACGGGCGTGCGCATTAGCTGTGTAAAGCATCGGTGGGCGGGCGCTGTTGTGGGCCGCGGGCTGCGATTGTAATCTGGGGCTATGTGGTTGTGGTTGGTCTCAGTCATGACGTTAATAAACAGGTTTGGACCCTCTCTCTCTCTCTCTCTCTCTCTTTCTGCTCCTCTCTCCTCTCTCTCTCTCTCTCTTCTCCTCTCTCTCTCTCTCTCTCTCTCTCTCTCTCTCTCTCTCTCTCTCTCTCTCTCTCTCTCTCTCTCTCTCTCTCTATCTCTCTCTCTCTTCTCTCTCTCTCTCTCTCTCTCTCTCTCTCTCTCTCTCTCTCTCTCCTCTCTCTCTCTCTCTCTCTCTCTCTCTCTCTCTCTCCTCTCTCTCTCTCTCTCTCTTCTCTCTCTCTCTCTCTCTCTCTCTCTCTCTCTCTTCTACTCTCTCTCTCTCTCTCTCTCTTCTCTCTCTCTCTTCTCTCTCTCTCTCTTCTTCTCTCTCTCTCTCTCTCTACTCTCTCTCCTCTCTCTCTCTCTCTCTCTCTCTCTCTCTCTCTCTCTCTCCTCTCTCTCTCTCTCTCCTCTCTCTCTCTCTCTCTCTCTCTCTCTCTCTCTCTCTCCTCTCTCTCTCTCTCTCTCTCTCTCTCTCTCTCTCTCTTCTATCTCTCTCTCTCTCTCCTCTCTCTCTCTCTCTCTCTCTCTCTCTCTCTCTCTCTCTCTCTCTCTCTCTCTCTCTCTCTCTCCTCTCTCTCTCTCTCTCTCTCTCTCTCTCTCTCTCTCTCTCTCTCGCACGCGCGCGCGCGCGCGCGCTCTTGCGCTCTCTCCCCACCGTCGGGTCAGGACGGCGGCGAATCCGGACAAAAAACCGCCGCTTTCGCGCCGCAACACACCCGCATCACTCGGTTTCGGGCAGCGCCGGTCCCCTCGCATGTGTCTGGTCGCCACGCCCACCGCCAGCTGACCACTCCGCCAGCTGACCACTCTACCCCGTGCGCCCCGACTCAGCGATCCGCGGACACTTGTGCGCATACACCGACAGAGGGTGATTTCGTGTTTGTTTAGGTTATTGTCATGCTTGGGTTGTGAAGGCCGAGAGCTCGCAACATTTTTTTCTTTGAATCTTAGAGCAGATGTATTCGACCTCGGATCAGAATTCGGATTCGATGCTCAAATAGATTTCAACAGCATGATAAAGATGTCTCTGTGAGCCGCTCTTCTCTCAGGACAGCGCTGCATCAGCGTTACGTCTGTCAGGAAGACCGACGTCTGAGTTTCAAAATCAGCCGCGGGGTGGACTCGCGAGCAAAAGAAAGGCTCTGCAACACACAATGCATTCATGGTGATCGACGGTGAAGGCATTGCTATCAATTTGAACGATAAAAGGTCAATTACCAAGCTGGCGGCGAGAACGGCTTAAAACAGATGGACGATGATGAAGAACAAGATGAGTAGCAGGCGCGTGTAAAGAATACCGGCCACCTGGGGTAACAACGAGACAGGGCAAACCATTTTTGAAGCCCACGTGTAGATCGCGAAGCACCGTGGCTGATTCTAAATTGCATTGCCCAGCGCCTGAACACGTGCGGCAG